GGAAGAACCCCAATTTTATTGCCGACTTAACAGAAATGTTTTGTAGCATGAAGAACAGCTGGATTGAAAGCATTAAGCTGGTCCGTCTTGAGCAATTCTTTTCAGGTCAATCTTTTCTTATCAATCTTCCTATCAATCTTTTCTTTTTTGGCACCCATTTTATGCATTCGCATTCTTATGTGAGGAATAGCGACCATGCAAATTTACGTTTCCATCTTCATTAACAAAAATTCTTCCTTGGCATAAATTAGGTGATTTCAAAGCGAGGGAAAGATCAGTTAGCCTGAATGAGGTTCGACCTAGGGAAGGTGCGTGTGAGAACAGCGTGCGTCTCCAACCATTGATTTCAACGATCTTCATTCTATCAGCTTGGTAAAAGAGCCCCGCGTGCTGGATCAGAATTTAAGGAATCGTTCACGGAAAAATCATGATTCTATTTCAGCCATAAATCACTGGCTTGAGACCCATCATTCACGATAAGAATGAAAAGAACAAAAGTATTGCTTTTGTTTTGATTAGAAATTCGAAAACTCGAAGGACTGCTACGCGTTCAAATTCCCGCCGTACATCTGTCACAAATTTGGCGGCGGGAACGTTTGCACTTATTGTTATCTTTCGGAGTTCCTCCATTAGAAGCTCCTGGCCTTTTCCAGCTATGACAGTAACATTTCTCTTGTCTATTGCATTCTATTCTACCATTTTGTCTCTATTCTCGCCTGATTCGTGGCCGCCCAAGGCACACTTCTTTCTGTGGCAGAGAACATGAAAGGACAGGGGAGGAAGAAGTAGAACGGCTCGCGCAGCGGCCTCCTACCCAGCAGTCAGTCGCACTCAGTGGATGGATCAAACTTCGGATGGGTACTGCACATTCCACAAAAAAACCGAGAGTGCTGCACTACTGCAATGCCGCCTTCGTCTCACGGTGGAAATTGTAAGCATTCACCTCAGGCCGGACGTTGATTCATTCAAGTATGCGAGATGGAGGCTAGGCTGACATTGAAAAATAAGGAACTAAAGGCACAGAAGTCATGTGACCGATTCCCTTCGGTCTGCAGGACAGGCCCCTGGCAATCATACATGTGGCATTACCGTACATGGAAATCAACCGACAACAGCACAAGAGCCTTGCAAAGTAAGCTGTTGGAGCTGCAGACTTTTTTCTTTACTGCCGACCCACCTCGCACCAAATTCGACCACCTCACACCAAATTCGCATTCATGTGCAAGAACCACACCAATTTGATCCTGGGCCATGCCTTCAAAGGACTAATGACAACTGTGAGGTCAATAGTGTTATTAAGCGGATTCGATGTGGTAATGGTCAGCCTCATATAGTCTCCGCAAAATTCATACGCAGTGCGTCTCCTAATTATAGCAGGCCAGCCAAACCGTTCCTCTCGCAAAAATGTCCCGGATCTTGTTACAGTTTCATTTTTAGGAAACAGTGCTATTTCACTTTCCGCTTGAGAGCGAACTTGGAAGTTCTTCACTACTTACCAAGCACTATCCAGTAAAGATTAACTTCGAAAGAAGACTCTAATTCGAGCACGGCTTGATGAAATTGGATGTTATTTTCATAATTCCGCATTAATCTTGATCAAAAAGCAAAGAGGAGCTTTCAGAGCCCTTTTCAGCTTTATTTCCTACGGCATGCAAGAAGAAATTGTTTATCATTTCGTAGCTTCGACTAACTTCCGCGCAATGTGACCACTGGCGCTTACTCTTTCTTTTTTGCGACCATTTGCCCTTTTTTCGAGATCCAACAACTGCTTTCCTTTCGTGATAACTTAGAAAAAAAATTGATGACTACCATCAAGTTTCATCAAGCAAAAATGAAATACAACGAAAAAACACGGGGTGGCTGTATCATTTGGAGACGTTGGAAAAGCGTTTTTCGTGAAAAATTAGCAAAGAAAAATTTTCGCATTTTCAACCTGAAATTTTGTGTTGATTTTCGAATTTGCGACCAAATTTGACACATTTTCATTAATTGAACAATTTTCCCGAACTTTTATGGAATGAAGATTTCGAACAAATTGTAGGTGCGCTGTATCATTAGTGAGACGTAATGTAGAGGGGCAGAAGTGTAGCGAAGACAGCTTTAGCCCACAGGGTCAACCGTCTCCGTTTCAAACTGCCTCGAACGAAGGGTCGTCGTTTGGTAGCAGAAGGTCGCAATGTTCGTAGGATGGCAGCCACAGTGCGCGTGCCGCGGCGTATCGAGATAAGCCGACCCGAATGAGGGATGCGTGGGGGGATCGGGGGGGCGTGGGCAAGAATCTTGGTGAGACGCATTTAGATTGATTAAAGGGTATATGCACAGAGAAGCAGTTTTTTATGCCATAATCACGGTGTTTTCCTACGCAGTAAAGAAGTGTGTTGAATGCATCCTTATGAAAGGTTTGACTTCTCGGGGCTGAAAATAAAGTTCTTCTTCAAAGACCTAATTTTTTGGGGCGCTTCTTCTAGAGAACTGTAATATACATGAGTAAGCGTAAATCTCGTAGTCTTCAAAAATGTCTTCGCCCTCTCCCAACAAGCTTTTTGAAGGAAGTTATTATTGCTGAAAGCTCAAAAACTCGCATGTGCTGCTCAAAAACCTATGGGAACAAAATGTTCGAACGTGTGATTTTCTCGGAAAATGGATTTTGAAAAACGGTTTGGTGCTTGTCAGAAAGAGCAAATCCTGCACTTTCACCCCATGAAAAAAGTGCATCACAGAAATGAAAATGAAGTGAGTTATGCCCGCTTAAAGCCCAAAAACTCGCGATTTCAAAAAAAGTGTTCGGCAAAACCCCCAAAATGTTCGAACGTGTGATTTTCTCGAAAAATGAACTTTGAAAAACGGTTTGGGGCTTGTTAGAAAGAGCAAATCCTGTACTTTCACCCCATGAAAAAAGTGCATCACAGAAATGAAAATGAAGTGAGTTATGGTCGCTGAAAGCCCAAAAACTCGCTTTTGCACGAAAAATGTTCGAACGGGACAATTTTTTGAAAAAGGGGACAATCACTAAACTTTTATACTGTTTTGTTAGAGAAATATTTGAAGTTTCTGAAACTTTTTACAGATTTCCAAAAGGTCGCATACGAAAGATATTATGGGCCTTCAAAGTTGAAGGTGCGCCTTAGAATTTTGGGTTTTCCACTTCTAACAGAAGTACTTTCCGGAGAGTTAGGCAATCCTTGTAGTTTTCTGAAAGCGCACCTCAGGCACAATCAAAATCTACCTCAACAAGTCAAAAAATACGTCCCAAGAAAGTTATTCCCCTCTAAAATTTTTTCTTCGCCGCGTCCCGTTCTTCCAGCGCCCGGGTGATACCTGCCGCGCTCCAAGGCTGACGCCGCAATGCAGACGCTTTCTGCGGCGGCGGCGCAGATGGAAAAGTGTGTAGTTTCAGCTCTCAAGCCAACAAGGTTTCATCCCTACGGAATTGTTAAAACGGTGTTTTCTTGTCTAGAAAGATGGAAACGCTGACCTACATGTGGCTCGGTCATCCCAGTTACAAGCAACATCCTGGATTCTAATGCTACTACAAAAGTGAAAGGACGGAAGGCGTGGCGCAGCTCAGCAAGTAATTGGTCCACGCCGGACGGTTCATCCATTCATTCTATTTAGTTCACAAGGCAAATGGGAGGTCCGGCTGACCTTTTGTGGTCCCTAGTAGCGATGCCCTGCACATTCAAGTGCAAGGAATTCGCCTATGATCTTCCAATTATGCTCAGCGCGAATGGATAGTTGTCTTCAGCATTGAGGAGATGAGTCACAACACCAAAACTCTTTATGCAGTACTTGAGACACTGTGAGATCTTACGACCGAAACATTTATTAAGAGTGCCTCCATTCATTTTCAAAATAGTTCAGATGGGCCAGACAAAACACAGTGAAAATTCGCATTTCCATGCATCCTTCTGTTTTGGCGCGGGTTGCCAACAATACGGTGTTGTGTGCATGTGTGAGTGACACAAGTGCACACAATCGATACCGGTACTGAATAGGCTCATGAGTAGTACCCCCTCGCGAGAGTAGTACTAATCACGGACGATCAGAGCGGGCGAATACCTTGGAGGATATCCGAAAACCGGTCTTCTCGTTGTTCAGTGCTGAGGAGTTGACTATTCGAACGCTGACGGGGGTCTGAAACGAGCTAAGTGAGTGATGCGATGGTGAACCAAGCGTCTACAAAGAAGTCTGTATGGAAGTTTGTAGTAAGCAATTATTTTCGAATCCTCCCTCTCTTCCCACTCTCAAATCCATCAATAGATACCTGAAAATCGAATCCATAATCGTTCGATGAAGATATGACGTTATCGACTGATGGCGGAATACCGCTTCTGACAGAGATACCTAACAAACTTCCAGTGATGTTCGCGAACTTGAACATCGAAGGAGTGGTTGCTGAAATTACGATTAGCTAAGAGGGAAAAAAAGTACAGAAAGTTAAAAATTTCCCCGACCAATGAGATAAAAAACCCTCTGCAGAAAAACAGCTCAAGAGCAAATTGATGCTCCCGCATAGAGTGAAGAATTGCCCATATGGTACTTTGTGACAGCGCTAACAGAGGTTGAACGGACGTAAGCAAACCAGCCCTTTTGGCGCTTCGGCTGGGACCGTATGCTGAATGTTGGGGAGGGGATGGAGTCCCCGACGGTGGACGGACCACTTCAACTCGGTCCTTTAGAAACCGCCAACCTCTCCAAGGCTTAGTCCTGGGGTGAGCAAACCAGCCCTTCTGGCGGAGCTGCTGGACCAGCTGCACCACTTGCGTCAGTACTCTCCTATCGTACCAAACCGAGTTGAAGTAAACCGTCGACCGTTGGGGACCCCATCCCCTCCCCAACATTCAGCATACGGTCCCAGCCGAAACGCCAAAAGGGCTGGTTTGCTTACCTCGTAAGATATTGAATCTCGATTAATGTATGCTATTATAATGGTAAGCGTGTAGAAGCTGTGCTGAGGGCCGCCGCGTTTTTGTAGCAGTCACGGTATGACCCTAGCGATTGGGTAACTTTTACGAAACATTTTACGTTCCTCTTCTCTCCATAGAAACCTCGACGGCCCACACCACCACCATTGATATGAGGGACCCCCCATTACAGGTCTTCCACCACTTTCCCCATCACGTCTATTCGTATAACGATTTTGAATTCCGAGCAACCGCTACGACGACCATTTTTTCACTGCCTTTAGCGCGAAGTCCTTCAGAGCGGCGTAACTGCAGTGGCAGGAGTCAATTCACAGTCGTGAATGCATCCCGCACAAGCCCGCACCGGACCCCTTCAACTTTTGAAAATGTAGCCCTTTTTCGTCCTTTTGACTTCCGCTAACTTCAAATACGACCCCTCCTACAAATCGAAAAGTAGGAGTACTACAGTATTGTATCCACGGGAGAGTCGTATTTGTGATTTTAGAAGGAGGGATCGTGGATGCCACAAAAAAAAATAGATTTATTCACATCACAATGCAATTCTGCCAATTATGTGCAGTGAGCTACGTTGAAACGCTTCATTTTCATCATTACGAGTACAAGCTGTGTCAACACTCCTATTCGATCGCCCTCCCTATCTTTAACAAATTGGCGACCAAGCAGTTTTTGGGTGTTCCCGAAAATTGCGTCCTAATGCTGAAACGCTTCCATACGGTGTACATACCAAATCAATGAGAACACAATGCGGAAACTGCTGAAACATCATTTGTCTCGTACAAATGCTTAATGGCTGCAAACCAAGCAAAAATCTCCCCGTCCCGCAAAGGTGAAACTTCGGAACGCTCTCGGAAAATTCCAATTTTCCACTGTAGAATCCACAAATGAGGTTGAACACAAATCTCTTTTTTGCCAATTGTTGTATCATTGAGCTAGCTAATAGCATACAAAAAGGCAGCTTTCTACATCAAGAAAGAACAACCTTATCACTGAAGAAGCAATTCCAAGCAACCCTTCTGTAAAACTTTCACTGTGAAAGATGTTCAAAGAACGTGGCCATTACAAGTTTGACAACGTATTCCGGGTTAATATAGCACCGCTCAAAATTTGGAATATGCGCAAAGGAATAAAATTCAAGGGGTGTCGCCCGGCATCGGGCGACATTGTCGCCTAAAAGGGTTATCTTGAAAATACGCATGTCTCATGTACCATAAACACTTCAGCTTGAATAATGTTGGGCCTATCACAGCTAGCTTGGTTGTAGAAGATTTCGAAATATACGCCCTACTGACGACTTTCTGAGAGACCCTGTAGGACACCTTACAGAATGTCTGGGGGTGATAATAATGTGGAATGTGCTTTTGGATGCAAGCATTAACTTGGGGAGATTCCATACTGAACTGTTGTTTTCCAAAGCAGGCGAATCCGCGCTCATAAGCATATTATGCTTCGGGATGCTCCCTCAAACAGCGAGCTCTTGGTATGGAAATTTGACCCATTAATTAATCGGTTTGTGTCATTTATTGGAAATCGATCCGGCGAACTAAGGAATAACAGTGGACAAATTGACCAGGAAGCCTCTCACCGTTTTACGATCTTTATTCCTTTCCATCGACCGCTGGGCGTTCGTCAAACGGTGACCGGCCCCTGACTTGGCTGCCGTTTACGGACAAGCAGCACTGCAATGACACTTTCGTGATAATAATGTTAAGAGAAAAGAGCGAGGAACTATCCAATTGAGAACTAGGCAATTTCCTTCCGAAAACTTACCATATACTGTGAAACCTGCACCGTCTGCGAATCGTAGCACGACACCAGGTCGAATGGTAACTGTCCGATTGACCGGGATCACAACATCAGTGGAATCTTTCGTACGGAGACGATTCGTTTCGATAAACGTCCGGCAGTATATATTGGATAGATCTGAAAGAGTCAGCAACAACTACGAGGGTGAAGCTGAAACTGGCTGAAACTTGGCGCTATCACGCTTTACTAATATATTCGTAATGAAAAATGCGGTTCTAGTTTCCGTGTAGCGCAGCTGTTATCGGAGCGCGCACATAATCAACACATTGAGCTAAATAAAAAACGTCGAGTTATAGGACACTTTTGTACTGTTTGTTATCACTGAACCGCCGCTGAATTTGCTAAATGCACGGTAAACTTTCTAGCGGAGGCTCTCCAAAATAGAGAAACCCACCGTTTCCGCCTGGTCCTCTCAGGCTCTCTGACATGAAGAGGGGCAGGTTGTTTGCCGTGGCGTCTTGGGTGCACACGTGACGGGCGACAAGCATCACTGAAAGTAGACAGCGGAAATCGAGATAGTTCAGCAATCAACTTGGATGCAAAATCAAAGCTTTTCAGGTGAGAAACGTTTGTATTACGGTGGTCTTACATTATTATTTTGCCTCATAATTTGCATAGAAATAAACTCTGACAACCAGCATTTCACTGACTGTTCCGATTTCCGATAATAACAGGTTTCGACCGGAATTACGATGACGTCCCATTTTCATTCAATAAAGTTGCGATTTTGGAAGGGGAGGGGAACTAGTGGAAAGTGGGGCATCCCGACGGGTCACCTTTCAGGGACAAAAAGGAGCGTTCCTGCTGGCTCCGAATTACGCGCCCCAACGCCTAGGTATTCGAACACGAGTCACTTTTACCGATAATTCCATACCAGTCTCTTTCCAAAAACAAGTATTGGACTGAGGTTTCTTTGTTGCCCGCTAGATAACGTGATGTTGTTGATAGCCCGTATAGAAAAGTCCATAGAGCGAATAATCTTTGCAAGTGAAGGAGGCGTGCTCCAATTACAGAAAGCCGTGGCACTGTGCGACTGCGAAAGGTACGCAACAGACGGTCTATGGGCTTGCCCTTGACACACCGAATACCACGGTATTCATATGTGTTTTCGCAGACACGCGTGTCCTGAAACCTAATCATAAACGAGCGCACTCTCTCAGTCTTTTCCCTTCTCGTAGTGTTATTTCTCTCCTTCACGCCATTCAAGCTAGAAAAATTGATAGGAGAGGAGGTATTCAGTTCCATTACTTTTTGTGTTATTTTTTTGCCTGCTCATCTCCGACTGTCCCATTGGTACCCTTGTTTCACATTCGAGTAGAATAGCGCCCCGATTCCACGCCGCTCGCTTACCTTCAGGAATGAAATCCTTTACAGTTTGCTAACTTGTAGATGATAGATAAAAGTTTGCAAGAATGTCCAGGCATACTTATGTCTTCCTGAAAGGAGCACAAAGCTCCCGCCGACCTACTAACGGTGGACGCTGACCACGGCGCCACGTTCACACAATTGAATAAGGCGGCTGATGCGATTTGTCGCATCCGGCAAAACACAGTCACGCCGCGCGACAGAGCGACAGCTCTCGGCCTTTCCGGGAATAGGTCTGATCGGCAGTACTCCCGAGATACTCTACTCAAGAAGCAGGAGCGAAAAGAACTAACGGTAGCGGAGTGCATCTGAAGCACTAATTACAAGATACTAGTACCAGTCCTCAATTTATTCCCGCAAGAAGAATTCTTTGTCCGCGATTTATTCTTTTAGAAATGCAAAAATTTTATTCGCACATTGGCCACAGTCTGAGCGACACGTGGCAGAATGCCTAGAAGTTCGATTGAACGTTTCTTTAAAGGCCACTTACACTACTTCTCATAAGTTACTGAAGCCATGTGCATTGTTTATGCATTCGTACAACTTCGGGTTGTACACATTGAGGCCCATATTTTTGCCTTTCTTCTGGCAAAAACCAATCTGGCCTATCCCCGATGGTTTCGTGGAGCAGGAATCGGAAAACTTTTCGCTATGACAACAAAGGAGGTGAACCTCTTCTGCTAATAACTTCGTATTTTCGGATGATCAGACCACTGATTGCTTCATGTAGATATTTCGTACTGAGAAATCAAAATCATGGACGAATAAGCTCTTGAACTGAAGAAAGTGAACCTGGGGGCTTCCAAAAACATTAGCGGGTAGCAAGAAAGGCGTCTTGCCCACTTCTTCGCAGCGCTTTCTGCCCTCACTATGAGATTGGAGACTTGAACTCCATGCAGTGTAAGTATGGGGTCGCGTCATTCAACGGGCCATAAAAAGAGCGATGCTGGGAGTTTGTCAAAGCAAGCGCTTGCATATAAATTTACTGTAGGTGTACTGTAGCCAAATGAATAGATCGTATAACTTCGTAGCAATCGTTGGAACTTACAGTAAGCGACGGGAATCGTTGGTTTCTTGCTGCATGTCTCTTAACCTGTACAATCAATGATTGAAAGCACAATAGGACTTGAAATCGATAATTGTCGCGCGACAACCTCCTAAAAATCGATATTCCTTGAATCACCGTTATATGTACTTAGGCGAAGCTTAGGCACACCGTTTTCAATAGAAATTTCTCCTTTGTGTTGGTGTAATGCATCACTTTCCAGTGGCCATGTTCACACTCAGAAAATAAGATATCTCTAAAATTTTCAATATTACAGCGAAAAATCATAAATTGGACTTAATCACACTAATACGGAAAATCACAACTCACATCTCTTCAGCTCCGGTTAGTGGTTTAAGACAGTGAACGGTTAACGAACTTATACATGTTGGTTCATGAAATTGTAATCGCGTGAAAAAGCCCATATATGGATCACCTGAAATCGATTCCTATCATTGTAGTGGTCTGTCCCTAGAGAGGTCTTTTGGATAAAAAAAATTATCAATGCTTACGTCCATCAATCGATATCCGCTGATGGCCGGACTCTACCCGTAAAAATGAAGCAGCAACATCTGAAAATATTTACTCCTTCTGAAAATCAGATGTCGAAGGCTAATCAATAAAATGATTTCTTTGTTTATTTCAAGAGTATGCCGTGATTGACTGGTACGAACCCGTACCTCCACAAAACCACAAAAGTCTATTGAATATTCGCAAGAGACCTGGGTTATGGGCAAAAGACACCCCCATACGGTAGCCGAACCCGGTTCTCACATTTCGCGCAATTATACTACAGTTATACCATCAGGTCGCCGTTTCACCTTACCATTAGCCCAGCTTTCATAGTGATTGAGATATCTACTGGGAAGACTGGTAGTTTTTGATTCCCACCTGAGGCGAAACATTGTGCTTAAACCCAGCTTGCTTGTTACGAACAACGGCCGAAACAGCAGCAAACAATGAAGGTAGCGATTACGATAGGTTCAAGAAGGGTTTAGAGGAGACGTGGTGGTGCTCAATGGTACGCCAGTGGCGAAAAAGCAGAGAAATCCGTCAAGAAAACGCAAAACGGGACCCCCTTTTTGGCCGTTGGTTTTCACTCATGAACAGGTAACAGCTCAGAAAGCGGACGTATGAACGAGTTCAGCGCAACGCGTTTGGTGGCACCATGCCAAACCACGCTCCAATCGAGTTGCTCCAGTTGTGCCGCTGCTGGCTCGTCCAAATCACCAACTAAACTAGTGGGCGGATCGCTTTTGGGGGCGGAGTGCTTTCGAAGTCCTGCTCAGCAACCAGCGCACCTTTCGTCGTGAAAGCGCCACACCTCGCTTCCTTGGCAGCCAAGTAACTGCTTCGTGTGGTGCATATGCTTCCCCGATGCGCTCCCTCTTTATCGTAATCGCTTCGTTTAACATTCACTTTCAGAATAAAAATGACCATGAGGCAACTAGGTATTAGTTACACTGGTAAGACTGGTAAGGTAACATTGAGTCTGGCACATAAGTGACAACTATTTTTCCATTCACTGAAAGCACCGGTCCCGATCGAAATAGCGTGTTATTTTTTTTCAAAATGAACAATAAGTACGACGAGGTTTGCTAATGGGAAGAAAAAGAGCTATGAAAAACACTGAAATCTCCAATATGAGGTTGGTCATGGCATGACAGAGAGACACAGCGCTACGAGCAGAGGAACCCTGCAAAAGCACTGAGTACGTGAGAGGGCACAGACGCCGGCTGCGGTTGATAAGGATGGCAGCGGTCGCAGCGGTCTAGCGAATAGATAAGCTTTTTTGCCGCGCACTTCCGGATCGCGAGACTTCCACTACCCGTATGAAGGGCCTGCTCCCTAAATCAATTAGAGGACTTCAAGGATTAATACGACCGTGAAAGGCGGTGAGTGCAGAATACATTCTACTCGATGTGTCAAATGTCGTGGTCGATGCCTAACCATAAGTTTCTCGTCAACTTATGTCCTCTCACAGATTCGTTTATCCGGGGAAGAAACCTGGCCACTAAAGGATGAGTTCCAGTTAGACATCCGATTTTTCAAGACGAGAATTGTGCTCCCCATTACGAACCTTTTAGGTTCCTTCCATGGTCTCGAGTACGTAAATTAAATGTGGTATGGTATGAGAAATTTGTGAATAAAAAGCCACATACTCTTGGAGAATAGAAGAACTCAGAGTTATAATTGCTTCTTCCATGGCCAGTCACATTGTCTCCCCCCCCTTCAATTTCGATAAAGGAAAAAAGTTCTGAAAGAATAAAGTTAGCCACAAATTGTTCCATGAAAAGAATGCATTGAAGGAACGCGAGGATGTCGATGGGAAAGTTGAAAAAGTGAAATTCTAAGGAATCGACGGAATTGTCGACGCCAATAAATTCACAAGCTTCGAGCTTCAAAAAAAATTTTATCACGAAGAAGGTGGAGCCAGCAAAGAGGAAAGGATACGCGACTAAAGAACGGAACTGAGGAGGCAGTTGATAAAATTTGGCTGGAGATGACGATTCTTATTCCAAATGTTGTGATGCTATTTTTGTTCGTTCTCCTTTCGCTTTTCTCATTGTCTCAATTTGGACCCGACTCCATATTTTTGCGTATAACAGACAAGCAGTCAAGATAGCTATGACGACAAACTCCTTTCAACATGCAGAACACAAAGAACTCTGACTCCCAAAGACACTCGCCGTCACTCATCGTTCAGCCGCTCTTCTTTCGCCTCCAGGGTACAATTGACAACTTGGTAAACGACTTCGACGAATAAAGACCAAAGACTAGTACAAGTAACGTGGAGGCCTTCATAAATCTACAACTGCAAAGAACGAAAACGAAATCGTACTTTCATTTACTTTGGGCGCCTTTACTTTGCTGATCGACAGAACGAGTGCGGTAGTGCACTTGTATCCCCCAAGGTGGCCACTGCTAATGCGTTCCGTGATTTTGATATAATGTTTGGAATGTAGTTATGCAATATATACAAGTACCGCCACATAAGAAGCGAAAATGCTAAAGGCGCGCAAACGTCCCAGCTTCATGCAAGGATCGGATCCTGCTCTTATGAGCCAAGCCTTTCTGGGATGGAATAAGAAGTAGCAGTTCCCCAGAAGTGGGTACGATTTTGAATGAATGTCGAATACGCGGCGCATCTCATGACCAAAATAAACTACTTCTCGTTCACTTCCCAAAACACCGCAAGTCATTGGGAATAAAATGGAAGAATAGAGGAGAGCACAGGCGCTCCGTAGAAACCCGTCATTCAGGAAAGGGGCGCGGTTGAGACGAGGCATTGAAGGTGGCTGACGAACCGGCGGAGCTCATTTATTAATAACGTACATGGGAAAATCCCTCATGCGAACGCAAAAACATCGCCGTGAATGGAGACATCAACCATGGATACGAAAAAAAGCAAGTCCACGTCAGCCTACCTTTTAAAAACCTTCCAAAAACCCGTATCCGTTTTCAAAAAAGGGTTTCATGAATTGAAAAACATAGGAGCATATCAATCCAAAGATGTTCGCTCATAATTCCCTCTGACACAACTGAACTTTTGACAGCTACTGAGAACTCTGGGACTTCTAGGAAGAGGAACTAATAAACAGATCTGAGAAGATAGAACAACTCAATTGATGAGATTGACGGGATGGCGTGTTGAAGATGATGAGGGTGGAATCGGCCGGGAGGGCATCTAAGGCGATGTATAAGTACAACAGATGAGTAATGAAATACCTATCCTCTAGTGCTCTTCACGCCAATCAATTGAGGCACAGTTTCGTGAAAGAGAGCGAAAGAGCCACTTTCAGTGGGAATGCGTAAAGTTTTGGGTAGAAATAAGTTTAATTATTCACCGTCACCATTTCCAACAATGAGTGCGGAGACAATTAAAGAGCTATAATAGATGGTGAATGAAAAGGTTCTTTGAATGGATTATTTCATCATTTATGAATTTCAGACTTAA